TAGCGAGACAATCAGCGACAGCAAACGTTCCAGAAACATGGCTGTTCTTTACTGGCGTGTAACGCTCAGTCCTGCGCATGCAACCGTCATCAAACGGCAGAGTAAACTCGCTACTGGACAGAACAGCATACTATCTACGATCCAAGCCAGTACAGGCCTTATGAAACCAACGGTTACATATATCGCACTGCATGCCCTCAGACGAATCTGTAACCGCTTCTAGACAACCCGCTTTACCACACATGAGCACAGAGTCGTCGGAAAGAGGACACGGCGAGTTTAAGCAGCAAAGAAGGCAAACACCCATTGAAGAGCGCGACCAGATTTCCCGCAAGATCTCAACTTTAGTGAGAACCGAAGATGTGGAACAGTGCCAAAAGCTTTCGAAAAGTCCACGAATAGCACTCGACAGCGTGGCCACTGTCCACCGCCCCCTGCTCGGACCGGAACTCACACATCTGAGTTTCTCCTAGCGGTGAGTTTGGTTCGGCAGCTCAGGTCAGGTCAGGTCAAATGAACGACAGAGGCTTTCATACGATCATAGGATTGTAGAGAGCAGGAGGAGAAATCCTTTGTCAGCTCTGTCGCATCCCGATCATTGTGTGGAGGCCACGATTCGTTGTAAAGCAGTAATCCACAATGGACCGTGACAGCTACAGTGGAAGTTGCAAGGGTCCATCGTATTCCAAAGCTGATAACTTAGCATTCGCTTGAAACATTCCTCTATCTGGACATCGACCGCATGCTTTGGTACGTCGTTCCAATCGTTGACTACCAGAGTTGATAGAGCAAGAGCAGGATGAACCCGGAGCCTTTTGGATTTAAAAGGTTTCCGGTTGTGGCCTCGAGTTGAAATGTTTGCGTTGAATTAAAAGCATGGCTGCAGCTTCGTCCCCACCTCTCCTCTCAGTAGGCGTCTGGTGAAAATCAGGTCACCGCGACGTCGGCGATAATCCAGGGAGAACAGGTTCATCCGCTGAAGTCTCAGGGGATAAGGCAAGTCCCGTACCTCCAAGGTGTGTTTTGATCCCCTCTGTTAGACCTTCTCAATGAGGTCACATTCGAACTTGGTGAGAGGCAAGACGGCAGGTAATCCGCATCCGAGAATGGGGCGCACGTGGGAAGTAAACACTAGTCGGAAGGCCTCCGGTGTCAAACACGAGAAGGCTCTTTGTATGGCATGGGACATCTTGTTGGGGGCATCAATCCTACATAACGTGTCCTATGTAGTCCGTAGATCAGATGACACCAACACGCCTAGGACTTTTTCAAAGATTGAGTTTCTGCGCAAAGCCCCACCAATGCGGTACGTCCCGACAGGCTCAGGAGCACCAATTAGGAGGACCGGGCACTTATCGCGATCTATGGGCAATCGCCATTTGACTGACCACTCATGTAACGTACCAAGTGTAGCCATTAACCGGTCCGCATCGTCAAGACAGAATACCTTCATCCACAACTTCAAGTCGTCAGCGTAAATCAAGCAATCCAACTGACGTCCCGCCGGGAGAGCATTGATGAAGACCTTGAATGGTTCAGAGCCAAGGACCGCTCCCTGAGGAACACCGATGGTCTTGAAAACAGGAGCAGAGTAAGTCTCGGTTACGTCGACTCGCATTGTCCGGTCATGCAAAAAATCAGCGTTCCAAGAGAGAACGTTCCCAAAACCACCGATTAGTCGTAGTTTATGAAGGAGCCTTTCATGAGGAACCTTGTCAAAAGTCTTGCTAAGTCGACAAAAATAACATCCAGGCGTTCCCCAGTGTCTAATGATTGCACCCATCTTTCAAGGCCACAAGCAGGTTCGAAGAACATGAGCGCGCCTGACGAAAGCCACGCTGCCCACAAGGGATGAGGTTAAGGTTCCCAAGGTGGAGAGGAAGTGCCCGCTTGAGAACCCCTTCCATTACCCTGCATAATATTGACGTTAAACAGATGGGTCGATAACTGGCAGGATTTTGACGATACCCTCCTTGGTGTATGGGGTTGGCAATCCTCACATTCCAAGCAATCGGGAGTCGTTCAACATCAAGAGAATGCCGAAATACCCCGCAAACAGGAACGGCAATGTAATCGGACACAGACTTTTGGGAATAGCGGATGCAACCCATCAGGACCCGGCGAGGAGTTCGGATCTAATTCAGGGTAAGTAAAGCGGCACCTGGCACTTCGACGTTGTATTGACTCTTCTCGCTTCTGCAAAGGAATGAAGCAAGAACAAACGCAATATTTTCACTTGCATGTGTCAGCACTAAAGTACAATAAATCTTCCAGTGCAACTATACTATCTCTGGAAAAAGGATACACCAACAATCATCTAAGCCCTTTGGAAGGCTTCTACAGACCCATAATCCCGTAAAGCAGAAGAAAGTTTAGTTTAGAAGTTAACTACTCGGCTCGTAAATATTTTGCCCTGATGTCCAAACAAGTTCTATTTTGTTTGAGCTTCAGACGACGCCCGCGCAGATAGTCTGACAAAGCCAACTCAAACAAATGGGGGACTTATACCACTAAGTCCCTTTTAGATCTTAAACGTCTCTATCCAATCCCCTCTTAAACTACGCCGTTCCTAGGAAACTAATCCCAAGCTAGTTAGACGAACTTCGTATGGTAGGCCAACTGGAGGCGTAGAAGTTAGGGGAATTTTTGTACATGTATATATATATATATTGAATGCACATGTTAGGCCTGTGTAGTTTTTGTATGGAAGGTCAATGTGATTATGATAGTTGTCGTGCTAGCCTACCTGAGCATTGGAAATCACGGCGCCACATTTCTAACTGTCCTCATGGTGGATGATTACGAGAGATTCTGTCTGTTGGTGCGTACGCATTATCGCAAATTTGAGGAGGTTGAGTGCAAGGTAACTGAATTTCAATTTGCAATTGGCACAGACTTTTACAAGCATTCGGCGGTGACGGCAGCATTAAAAACGGCAAAAGGGGGAAGCAGTTGCCCGATGAGTATGCAGCGATTGTAAATACTTTGTTTAGTTTTCATTTTCACGCAAACCTACTGCGCTGCAGTTGTTGTACCGCTTTGTTTTAATTAGCTGTATATACATACGCTTGGTTCCGAGCTCGTCTTCCGTGGTTCTCCATTGGTTGCCACTAGATTGTTGTGATTGTGCGCGCCGCTGCCTGCTCTGTTCACGATCGGACTCCACATACACGTATACTTCGGCAGGCCACGCCATTTGCGATCTACCGACGCTAAGGCGCATCAGGATATTTTATATGTGAGGTAAACCTGACTGACTGGGTGTTCTCCTTTACCGGTTCCTCCATATAATTGGTGACCCCGCATTTTTATTTCTTTTGTGTATAATGTTTCTTTTCCTTCGCAATGTCTGGACTCGCGCCCGCTAGTACTGAGTCGGAAAATACCATTGTACCCGCTTTACCTTCAGTTGACTTTTCCAACCCACGTGTCTAGTTAGTGCAATAGAAGCTGTTTTCCGTTTTCTTAAGATTAGATCTCAGTCCACAAACTTTTCATATGTGACTGCACACTTACCGTCCAACATCGCCTCTGAGGTCATCGACATTCCTGATGCTATGCGCCTAGAGTCCGCTTAAAATAAACTTAAGGCAGCCCTATTAAGGCCCACTACATCCTCAGACGAAGCACGCCTTCAGCAATTACCCTCTGACGTTGGGCTTGAAGATAGAACGCCGCCTCAGTTGCGTTCCCTCGTCGGTTCTTCCCTACTGGATGGTTCCGTTCTCCGCTAATTGTGAAGTAATTGTCCTCCCGCGATTAAGACGGCTAGCTTAGCTGTTCTCGCCGATGCTCTTCCGCTAGACAAACTTACAGAAGCTGCCGATAAACTTCATGAACGCTTCATTCAAACGTCGATAACCCACGTCACTGAGACCAGCTCAGGCAACCGCACCGGAACAACGCTGCTAGATACAACCAAAGAGAGACTTTTGTGCTCACCGTATCCCATCTCAAAAGCGATCGCTTTCCTTCGCGAGAACATTTCTTGATCCAGAAGTCCTAACTACTCTTGTACACGACAGTCGCACCACTGTTGTTATTATCACCACCGCTTCGGAGACGCAGCGCGTAAGTGCCGTCCAGGGTGTAACACCCTAAAGCCTTTTCAACTCCTACGTCGGGAAACCACATGGCCAGCCAGTAAGGGCGACGGCCCTTGTTGGCCAGGTTATTAGTCGCCTGTTGTACATATTTGACCCCACAACCAAACTTCACTTCTTGGTTGATACTGGTGCAGAAGTCAGCGTTCTCCCCCGTTCTCTGGGAAAACGCCCCCTG